CAATGGCTGGGGCAATCTGAAGTCAGGAACCCAGAGCCTCTTCCAGATATCCCACGCAGGTGCAGGGTCCCAAGGCTTTGGGCCGTCCTCAACTCCTCCCCAGGCTACAAGCAGGGAGCTGGGTGGGAATGAGAGTCGCCGGGCAACCATATGGGGTTCTGGCCCGTGCAAGGTGAGGACCTTAGCCACTAGGCTATCACACCTGGCCCAAATAAACTAATTTTTAAAACAAGCCTGTAGTTGAGATACATTTTTACCATAGTAAAAAGGAAAAATGTTACAATGGTTAAGTGGCAGGGCCTCAGTTCAACTCACATAACAAAGCTGAAGTTTGAACAGGACTGCAGGATATAACCATCACTTTAAGAGTATCTCTTTGGGAAACATTTCCATGTGTGTTTCCCTCAACTCTGTAGTCTCTGGAAATAAGAGGTCGCCTGTGTCTTTGATCCCGAGTTGGTTTTAAGAGAACCCCAAGGACCATGTTTAGATGAGGAATGGGCAGTTTATTGGTGAGGATGGAAGGCGGGGATCCTGATCAGCCAGACTGGGGAAACAAGGATGCTGGTGCCTCCTTCGGGGTGGCAGATAAGGGATTTAAAGTTTCATGTCTCCATGTGTGGCAAATGTAACTGTTTGGATGCACAGATAATTTCTAATTCAAGTGTTCACAGGTGACAGAAAACCCATGGAAAACAAGATTTTTCAGCTTAAATCGATATCTGTGCATTGCAAGAATTGTCAGGTGCAATAAAATTTGGAGCTTATACAATTTCTTCTGTGTATTATGTGGCCATTTACTCTGCTACAGTTAACTGCCATTGGGACTGCTTACACTAAATGCTTAGAATGCTTCACCTTACAATGCAATGTCAGGACAAACTTACAATGCAATGTCATGACAGAATGATGGACTGATGAAGTACAGTACTTCATAAGCACATATTGCAATAATATGGGGAAATAAGTTGGGGGAGGGATTTTGGGGAAAGGGTAGGGGGAAAACAAGCACCTATGGAATTGTACCATAAAATTTAAAATAAAATAGAACGGAAATAAACCACAATGGCCTCTTATAGCAAACGCACAGGAAGAGGCAGTTCCACTAAACAGCTTTTGTACATAAACTCATCCTGTACCCAAACCACTTCACCGGCCCCATTCAAGTTTCAGTTCCAGCTTGGCCACTCATTATCTCAGTGATCCAAGACAATTCATTGAAATTAATATTTAATTGGAATCCAGTTCTATCAAATTAGGAGATGGGCTCAGTCATTTACCAGGCCGCTTCCAGGCCTCATATTCTACATAGTTGGTGTAACTGCAAAGATTTGGCCTTTGTGCCCATATTTTTGTTGCTACCTCCTATGCTTCTTTTAAAAAACCATTGCCACACCCTTCCAGTTTCTTTTAGAGTCTGAGCTACTGGTTTTGCTGTCTTCCTGTACATTATTTGCTGTAGCTGTATATAGGCTGGGGGTGTGTTGCAGATGGTACAAGCTTTATCACAGACAGCACTCTCACAACGTTCGTAAGGTTAGGTATTATATGACATCCATTTTACAAAAGAGGAAACCAAGGTTCAAAAACTATCAAAGGCAGCAAATCAAGTCAGGTCTTCCCGGATGCTTGTATTCTTTACCAGTCGTAATTCCTTTTCATGCTTTGCACCTGTGCTAGCTTATCTCATAAATTACTTTGTACTAGTAACTTTGAATTTTGTACCTGTCATGTGACACATACACATTTTAACCAGGGATTATCATCTCTGAATCAACAGCAAACTTGTGATGATGCAATTCTTATGCCTTAAGCTGGTAGGTGAGGATGAGGTTCAAGACAGTCATGGCTTCAATACATCTTTTACTTAAGTGATCTTTCACATCCACCTTGGATAAATAGCAATTCTCAACTTCCACATCAGACTGCCCGAAGTTACAGCATTTCTTTTAGTTGAAGCCTAAAATGCTACAAGCTTTCCAGTCCACTCAAAGCATCACATTACACTGAAGCAAAAGGACTCATGCTTTGCAGCCAGAGAGCCCCAGGTTTACCAGCCAAGGTGAATTGCTTTGTGTTTATGCGATCCTTATCCATTAACTGTCCTTAGATAAATCAGCCTAGATGAGCTTTTAGGTTTTCTCATCTCTAAAGTGGGAGGAACAATAACAACTTTAGAGGTATGTTATGGCTATAGAAGTGCATGACTTGTAGCAGGAACACATGAAACCAGTAATACGGTCAAAAGGTTTGGGGGACAGTGGAGCTGTTTCCAATAATCAGACAGGTCTAGATGAGAGTATAACGATGGAGATCTCAATACAGACTCACTAGACTTGTTGAAATATCTGCCAGTGTGTGAGACCTAAATTGGTGACAGCTGAATGCCCTCGAATGGCAAAAACTCAAACCTTATCTGACCCCTGACTCTACTTTGCCAGAATACCTGGCAGCTGTTGCTGGAAGCACCCTTTTCAGGTGAGAGGTTCCTGACTGAGCCAAGTGGCAGAGTGTAATCGCGCACCATCTCCCCACCCCCCCATGAGACCTGACAGGTTGCCTGGGTAACAATGAGCTATTCTGGGCAATCTCCATGGGATCCCTATGGCTCTACTCATATCCCAGGGTTTTCTTTCGTCTCATCTTCTACACCACATGCTAAGACCTCTCTCTCCCGTCTTACAAGATCAGAGGGGACATGAAAAGAGAAGCAACTGACCCTGCAGTTGGGCCTTCACATTTTATTTCCTCATCATTTCCTTAGCCAAGGCACATTTCCACTTATATTTTCCTTTATAAAATCTCCAAGTGTTGCTTCTAATCTACTAAATAATTCCTCTGACCTTTTCTTGTTTTTATCCTTTAATTATCTGTTGCTGGTTCATTCACCACATTCCCCATTCAGTTATTAATGGCCCACAAAAACTTACTAGCAGCAATCATTCACTGATTAATCTGCACAACAATCCAGAAAGAAAGGTAATATTAATTCTTGGTTCTGCAGAAGGAAACCAAGAGGAAAAGCGAGGTTAACTCAGTTGCCCAAGGTCAGTAGCCAGACAAGATTCTAAACAGGATCTCACCTGTCTTGTGTTTCTGTAAACACTTCCCACAGTGTTGTCCCCTTTATGTCAAATTCACACCGTCAGTGCAGGTCGGTAACTACCATGTTGAGATTTGGTTGTCACAGAATCATATACAACTATCAAAACTCACCCCAAAATAATTATAGCTGCTAATAATTCACAGATAAAAGTGCCTGAATGAAAAGATAGAAGTACTTGAAAGCAAAATTTCTAGAAGTTTAAAAAAAAAAAAAGGACAATAGAAGCAAAAAGATCTGGATTGTAGACCCAAATCTGCCAAAATGAAACTGAGAAGTGTCATCTGAATTCACTGAATCCCTGACGGGGTTTGCAAACTTAAGAAGGTTATCCTAAGATATTTAGAGTATCTTGATGTTTTAAATAAAACAGACTACCTACTCAAACAGCCCACAATGAAAAAACAAAAACAAAACCCAACATTCAATGATGTCAAGCTCATGGCAAGACTGCTAATATTCACTTACAGCCCATGAAGTACACACCTACAATGTCCTCTGGAGGCAAGATGCCAATATGGAACACAAATTAGAAAAGGTTTCACATTCTTTAACTCAGTGATTTAACTCATGCATGGCATCGTCCATTAGAAATTAAACAGTAAAAGCAAAAAATAAAACGCACAAAAGGCATAATTTCAGTACAAGCTACATGGGGGAAAACTGATATCAACTGAAATGTTTGCTTTCGAAGAGGCATCTTTATAAATAGAGAAATACAATGCAATGCGAGCATCACTTTGCAATTAAAAAAACCATAGAAATTATGCAAAACAATTATTCTTGCCAAAACTATTAGACAAAAAAGCCAAAAGTAAATCAGCAGATGCAAACTCGGATATCAGTTATACACAACATGTGACACATACGCAAGGAAACATAAAAAAATTAAACCAGGTATATTAGTCACCAGGCTTCTTGTAAACATTTTTAATGACTATTATCTCATTATCCACATTTTAATGGCTTAACCAATAATTTAAAAAAATTTCCAATCCTGCTCTGGGTAGGTGGGAAACAGAATTTTAAATTTTATGCCTAAATCCCTTGGGTAATTTGTTGCTGACATCTTATTCATGACACTAGTTTTCCAGAGTAATTTCACCTCTTTATTATAGTAATAGTAGAATGTCTTGAGATTATCTTACAGAGACTCTTAGAATGTCAGCAGTTCCTTCCTTACATACACCTTTCTTCTAAATTCAGGTAAGAGTAACTCTATGCAATACTAACATTTGGCAACTGTCACATCTAGGACCCAGTACTTAGCAGAAATTCATTTATGGTAGCCTCAACAGCAGCCAAATGTTTGCTACCATCTTCCTTGCTATAACCAGGGTAGTTTCACAGTCGTAAGTTTTTGGAACTTGGACCAAGGTGTCCGCTTGAGGTTTTCAGGGTCTGTAGGATACTGTTCAATTCACCTTAGCAAAGCTATTCCAAGATTCATTCTACTGGAAGATCTTCATATCAGGAATTACATAGCCTCCTTTCCTTCTTATAAATGTTCTCTCCCTGCTAGGTCATTTGTATAGCTTTGATCATAATGTCTGGGAAAGACTGCAGAGCCAATGAACTAAAAATATGATTCTTGGTCTCATGTGTGCCAATGAATGCCCTCATTAAAGCAGAATGAGTGAGAAGAGATCGGTTTCAAAGCTTTCCATCCCTTTGCCCCAGAGCCGCCAAGGCCAGGCACTGAAAGGATGCACAGTAAAATTAAATATCTAAAAATTCATCTTTAATTAACAGAATTGGATTAAAGCTAGACACCACCGCATATCATACGAGAAATGGCTGAGCTGGTTTCCAAGTGCTCTAATTCAATTAGGACACAGTGAGTGACACTCGGACGGGAAAGGTTAATTGGGGCCGCCAGAACGCAATCATTCCTTACCTAACCAGTCATTAAACTTCTTAACCTCTGAGGGCAGTCCCAGCTCGGTGAAATCGCCTGTGTGGAGAAGGATGTCCCCATAAGGCATCTGGATACCATCTGTTCTGGAGTGTGTGTCTGAGATGCAGACAAACCGCGTGTGGCCCGCTGGTTTTGGAGTATCATATGGGATGGGGTCGACCCTAAAGTAAACATAACAGATCCCATAACAGTTAAACACATAAGAACTGTCGCAAATGACATCACACATACATAATGACTATTATCCCACAATGCACCCAAACAAACCAACGCAAAGCCAGACAAACCCATTACAACAAGGGATGTTTTGGGGGTGCACAGCACCACTCATCTACAACAAAATTGGGAAAACTCAAAACTATTACTTCCTTGGTAGGAAAAAAACTAAACGCAAAGATTATTTTATACATGGAGTTGGACAAACTCAGGAAACTGATAGATTAATAGTGAGGTTTAGGAATATTAAATCCCCAACTGGGGAAGCAAAATTACACTATTTTTCTCTCATCTTCAATTGATCCCACTACTCGTTAGGAGATGGATAACTAATTTATTCCATATTAAGCATGCATAACTTAAGCAGTGAACTAAATTAGAGAGCGCAGACTGCACCCACTCTGCCAAATGAGATGTAGAAAGACAGAACTTATATTTAATTTCCTTTCCACAGACATTCGACACCTGTATTTGGTGTTTTTGCTAAGACAGTCACAAGTCAAATTTGGGAGAGGGAAAGCAATGTCAAACTACCAGGGCTTTCGCTTTTCTAAAAAAAGAAAAAGGCTATTAAAATAATTTTAGCGAGCTTTTCTTTATCATGATGAATTAACTGCAGTCCCTGTTATACCTTATGCTAGAAGAAACGCCCTAATGTCTTGGGCAGGTTTCTCTTCAGTATAAATATAAGCCTTTTAAATGGGTGTATAAGTGTCTACATATGCATTAATATATGTATAGTTTTAGAAACCTACACACTGTGAAATTACACTAGGGCATAGGAATCAAAAGGCAAAACGTTCAACCCAAAGCAAAGAAAATGAAACAGAACATTCTCATTTAATTGAGTGTAACAAAGTGTACTAAATAAACTTGGTAAAGAAATGCAAATCTGACTCCTCAAGCATACAGTTTTAATTATTCAAAGGATTTGTAGCAGAGTTAAGGATGCTTTAACTATATTAACTCTACCCTGACAGCTTGCTTTAATTTCTTTGTAGGAATATATGCTTATTTTTGGATTACGGGTGAACAGAAGCCATTATAGATGCAAAGAGAAGGTCATGAGCGAAGCAAATATGCAATGCAGAGATTAAAGTGTGAAGCATTAAATAAGGAACAATATTTCATATCACAGTCTCACTCTTGATAGTTAACATGCAGCAGAGAACACATGGAAAATAAAAAAATACTGCCTGTACATGGAACCTCTAAAGCCTTTGTTTAATTCCCTTTTTGTTTTTCCTTTTTAAAATATCAATCCGTCTTAACAATGACGTTTCAGTGAAAAAATAAAGACATCTTGTGCAACATGGGTAGTTTCATATTTACTCAACAATTTATCTATTTTGTTTTTGTCAGAAGAAAAGTAGAACAGAGGAAGAGGAGGAAGAGGGAAATGAAAGACATGAACAGAGAGAGAAATGAGAAATGGGGAGACAAAGACAGAAAAGGAAGCAGGAAGAAGTGTGAGCTCATTACACAGGCCATTAATTAGATACCCCAAAGAAAGTTCATCTCCTGCAAAAAAATTTTTTCTTGTACATATTAGAAACATATATGTGACGGGTTGGTTTTGTGGTGCAACTAGTTACGCTGCTTGTGCAGCCAGCGACACCTCATGTCAGAGCGCTGGTCTGAGTCCTAGCTGCACTACACCCATATGGAAGAACCCAGATGTACTTTCCATCTCTTGCTTTGGGCCTGGTCCATCCCTGGCTGTTGTGGCCATTTAGGGAAGTAAAGCAGCAAATAAAAGATTATTTCTCTCTCTCTCTTTCTCTCTCTCTCTTTCTCTTCCTTTCATATATATAAAATATATATATTTGGCCCAGCATGATAACTCAGTGGCTAAATCCTCACCTTGCATGTGTTGAGATTTCATACGGTCACTGGGTCATGTCCAGGCTGCTTCATCTCCCAACCACCTCCCAGCTTGTGGCCTGGGAAAGCAGCTGAGGATGCAGAAAGCCTTAGGACCCTGCACACACATGGGAGACCCGGAGGAGTCTCCTGGGTCCTGGCCTGGAATCAGCTCAGTTCTGGCCATTACAGCCACTTGGGGAGTGAACCAGCAGAGAGATCTTTCTCTCTGTCTCTCCTTCTCTCTGTAAATCTGCCTATCCAATAATAAAAAAAAAAACTTAAAAAGTAAATGCATGTATTTAAAACTAATGTTATTTATTACCATGAAGAAAATTGACTAATCCACTGAGATCTCAGTGGTAACCTGGAAACGCTCCTGATTGCATCCAATGTTGCTTTTCCTCCTTCCCGGTGCAGAGTTGTAGATCCTGATTTTTAGTGGCTTCAACTTACAAACATCTATTTTCTAAAAGTTCTCCCAGAGAATCAATGATTATTGCCTGCTATGGCTGTCATCCTCTAAAAGTCATAGGTGATATTTTGACTTGAAGCTACGTTACTCACTAGGGTGGAATGAACTGTATTTATACTTCAGCAGTCAATACTGAAATAGAATTTAGTAAGCCAATATTTTAAGGCATTCAGTATCATGTATGTATGTATTTAATTTTCAGTTATCAATCTAATAATAATAAAACGATAGACACAATCTCTTTCTCCTTTGCATAAGTTGGCTGAGCTGCTATATCTTAATTTTTTGCAAGTCCCTCCCAGTTTACCAGAGGGACAGCATAGTCATTTTGAGAGAAGGCAGTACAGGTGTTAATCTTTCACTGTGAATAAGCCTCTATTTACCAAAACACCCACCCTGCAGCAACTAATCCTCACACTGTACATGCTTTGCTTCCCATTTTAATTTCATACTGGGAAATAGGTTTTCTGAGATGGAGAAGATCTACCACTTTCTGAGTTGCTTTAACCTCATTGCCCAGCTTCTCACCTCCTAGGGAAACATTTAAACATCTGGCAGAATTAAATTTAAAAATTCACTGAAGCCCAAGGAACACAAAGGCATGTGGACACGAAAATGGGAGAAAGTGCTTTTTTTTTTCCCAATTTCAAATTGAAATAGAATAAGTAGAGACTGATATTGTCATGCAACGAATAAGGCTTCCACCTGTGATATTGGCACCTCGCATGCTCTGGCTGCTCCACTCTAATCAAGCTCCCTGCTAATGGCCTGGGAAAAGCAATGGAAGATGGCTCAAGTGTTTGGGCTCCTGCCACCCAAGTGGGAGACCAAGATGAAGCTTCTCGATCCTCACCTCAGCCTGATTCAGCCCTAGTGGCTGCAACCTTGTGGGAAGTACACTAGTAGATGGAAGATCTGTGTGTGTGTGTGTGTGTGTGTGTGTGTGTGTGTGTGCGCGTGTGTGTGTGTGTGTGCATATTTCCCTTTTTCTCTTTAGCTCTTTCAAAAAAATAAATTCAACCTTACAACAGAGAGAAGCTAGTGAATTCAAAGCAGACAGCAAGTTGAGCAGAGATCTGCTTCCTATTAGTAGATTTTTGGGAGATGTGTAGAGGATTGATCCGTGTGTACAAGGACAGTATCAAATGTCATGGCACAAAAGAAGAAATTATACAGATCAGCCAAGCTGGCACTGAGGTTCCTTTTTACTCACAGGACTAATGACAAAGCAAAAAAACGGGTTCTGACCCAAGACAATGTAGCAAACCAGGGCCACACTGCAGGATGGAATAGCAAATATCACCCAGGTGTCACAGGGAGGAAGGCACTTGAAAATAACATGTCTGGTAAAGCAGGCAAGTCACAGTAGAAATAATTAAAGTTGAGACAATTCTAGGAAAACTACCATTCCCAAACTTGGAGTTTGATAAATAACTTGAAAACAAAAATCAGGAGAGCTCAACCTTTTCGTTGCAAGTGTACAACTGAGAGAGATCTTGACTAGTTGGTAGATCTACCTGTTCACATCGTGTGAAGATCATCACGTCATATTTTTCCATTTAGTTAAGAACTTCACCACTCACTCTATAAGCTGCTGACTTCTCCAATGGCCCGACATATTCCACAGGATAATATGTCAAATATTTGACAAATAGTGAGCGTCTTACCAAAGCAGTATAAACCCAAGAGCCAGAATGAAATATCAGAGTGAGATTTGCTCATACATTCAAGTACACCAGAAGGAAAACAAGATGACATGGGAAGATGAGAAGAAAACATAGCCACTATAAATCCCAGAACAGGACAAAACCTTAAGAGGCACCTGGTCCAAAGCTTTATATAATCTCTGAATACCACCTACACCTTCCCTGCCTGTTTAGCATCAATCTTAATTCTAAGGTTTTCAGAGAAAGGGAGCTGTAAATTCACTTTTCTCCTCACGTGCAGCCCATTGTGGATTTTACCTATTCTACTCCTTGGAAAGTTTGTGTTGTACATTTGCTGCCCCTGAGAAAGCTAAGCATTGTTAACAGACCTGACCTAAAGACCAAGCAACATTTTTTTGGTTAGTCACTCATTTTGTGTAAGTTCCTTAATTCACTCAAGCTTCTTTCTTTTTTCTTTTTTTTTTTTTTTTGCTATTATAAAATGGAAGTAATACATCTAGTTGCTATGTTGTTCAAGGTTCTGTATCCCATTTCGTATTTATTCAGACTATGATTCAAAGCAAGGTTACTGCATGTGCCTTAAGATATAAAAGATACAACAATAGTACTAATAACCTAAGATTGCTATCAAGATGAGAAAGGCATGAAGAACCTTTAAAATAGTGTCTAATATAATATTTAGTGAATATTTAAATCAGCAGTTGACAGTCTTTTTCTGTTACATTAGTCATATCACTTAATTTCTATGATCTCATTTTCTGCTTGTATTATGAAGAGATAATAACAGCTACAACTCAGGGAGTTTGTAAGAATTAAAAGAAATCACAAACACAACACCAAGCACAGTACTGGGCAAGTAATTATATAGTCTATAAATACACTTGTTTTCTTCCTGTCATACCTTCTTAACCCTAGTTCTACATTCTGAAATAACAAGAGA